TTCCGGATTTAAGTCATAGCTGTGCAAACTTTGTGCAGTTTGCTTTTGCTCAATTAACAAAAGTTCTGATCACACAGCAAACTGGGGTGAACATCTGAAAGCGAAGTGCAAACGCAATTTGATTCGAACTTTTTTCTACTGGACAACCACACCACTTCACCCATTAAGACTGTGTCATCTAATTTAAGTACATGTTGCTGAGTCGCTGCTTTTACTGTTATTTTAACAAGTTTCCAAGTCGATTTATTTTAGTGCTGTGTCTTTAAACATTGCTTCATGTCCAAGTGTATCTGAATAATGTTAACCAGTGGCTTCTGAAAAGTGCATGCTGAGGAGCGGATACACAGAATAATCAACGCTACAAAACAATAACAGCTAGGAGATTTTAACTTGACCCTAAAGTGACCCTAAAGAGTTACTTCAATACTATTAACACTAAGCTGAAGTAAGATGTGGGATCATTCCATCTAAAAACATCACATTTTCTGCTCAGCCACCTGTGATTTGCCTGAAAATGTTACAGTTTAATTCGGACAGAAATGTGTGATTACTGGGAAACGTTAACCTTGCAAAAGACAACTGGTGCACATTTCTAAACGTTTTAAAGCTGTATTCCACAATAAGATCAAATAAAAGATGCAGAATCCCTTTTAAAATGCAATTACTACTCACCGAAATGAAGAAAATGCTATTTTTATTCAGATTTTGTGATGATTGATCAAATATGATAATTATGTTAAGCTGTACCCAGCAGAGAGTCTTCCCCAGATAGTACAAAATTCTGGAGTTTCTTGGAGTACAAGAACTTTACTTAAAACTGAGAAAATAACTGTTAAATATATACATATTTAGCCTGCTTTGTGGGCATGAACATTCAGGCTTATCATTATGCACTTTAAAATATACTGAAGACCTCCGGTGAAGCGAGCCTGAAGGAATCCTGATCTGCAAGAAGAGACACCGTTTGAAAATGCAATCTCAGCTTTCTGAGTAAAGAGAGACAAACCACAATAAAGACACAAACAGACTTTCAAGTTAGATACGTGGCACCACAGAGTCACTCTGCTGTAAAGCGCTGCATATAAAAATGCAACAACCAGAGTCTCATACAGAATTCAGAAAAACCATCAGCAGCCATCACGCTGCTAATGAAATTCCGCCGAAGCTGCACTAACTTCGGTTTTTTAGCATCGCACGGGACGAGATGTTAATCAAACTGTGGCTCACGCAGTGCGCTGAGCACGTCGCGCTAGACTGAGCACCGCAGGAGGAAACGCAGCTGAGACTCGGCTCTATTGTATGAAGGCAGTGACGGACAACCACATGCTATGGCCTCAAAAACAAACTCCTACAGTTGGTTTCCAGAATGCGCTCATACACACCAGGAAGTAGAAAAAAACGCCAACAAACAACCCCCCTCCCCACATGGTCGGAGAGACAGACAGATAGAGTACATGAGCCAGACAGAAGAAACCTGAGAAAAACACATCCTCACAGGTCAAGACACCCACACAAAAAGCGTATGTAGTGTCGACAGTCTCGAAGTGTTTATAAGAGCTTAGCACCTCAGCACTGTGTTTTGTCAATAGTGATGCACCACAGGCCGAAATCCAAGTCTAATATCTGCGGTAATATTTGCACTGCTGACAAAAATCGAATTCTTTATTTTTGAATTGGCTGTGCGTCTGAGACGCACGGACTCCGTGCACAGCTGTCAAGCTGAAACCGCTGTAACAATCAAGTGTCACACCTCCCGTCAATCAAGGCGAAGGCTTTTACCGGTGACCGAGGGGTTTGAAGGGAATTGGACAGATCCAATTTTAATCAAGTGGATTTTGGGTTACGTTGGAGTGTGATGGAGTGGCCGAGGTGCTCGACTTTGGCTGACAGTTTGTGCCCCAGACTGTCCTCCTGCCTGTGCTGTGTTTGTTTACGTGGGTCTAAGACGCACACGGCCTATTTGTCAGGCTCCTGACATGTGTCTGAATCTACCGCTTCTTGGGATCAGATGTTGACTGGACCTTCCCTCGGCCTCCATTTCATCGGTGGAGATAACTTGAGTCATATAATATCGTGTCAGCGGCTGCTGGTCTGAGCGGTATGGTTGACCCTGATAACAGCACTGAGCCCACTGCTTTCAGCTACCTCAATCACAGCACATAGCCTTGAGTCTGCTTCTATAATAGTCTGTCTGCCCTTCACTTGTTTACCGCAAACTTTAACTCTGTCACACTGACCCTGTTTTACACATCTGAGGTGCGTTTTGGTGACCGTTCTCCATGGATGCGCACAAAAGGGGTAACATTAAGTAAGCTTTTTTTAATGTCTGACTTTGTACAGATTTGCGAGTGGGTTCGTGTGTGTACTGATAGCTCCTAAGGCTTATCTCACTGACACTTTATAGCCTGAAGCAAATCAGGCAGATTTCAGCAAAGCCAGGACAGGCTTTAGTCCCTAAAGCAAAAATAAACACAAATGTATTAAATAGTGAAGGAGTAGTGAAAAGTATCTTTCATAATAATCTCCAATGTGATGGGAAAAAACTTGTTCTGGGTGCAAGAGTCCTACACCTTTTTTTTCCGCTTTTATACAAAAGAGGGAAAGTAAGAAGGTTGGAGAAGACGACAACAGCAAAAAGTTGCCCCTTTATACCAAAAAATGTCCTCAAATAATTGTCTTATTTTGCTCAGGTCTAACTTAGTTTGAGTTTATTGGCGCCTCTTAAAAAGAAATGGCAAGTGAGTGACCTGCTTTCTGTTGTTTTTGCTCGTCCAGAGGACACACTGATGACTTCTGATCACTTTCTCTTGCAAACATTTTATCAGAGGCTCCAACAACAGCTCACTTAGGTTTCAGGTTTTAATAATAAAACCTGGCAACACACACACAAAGTTTAAAAGCACAAAGTTAAACATTTAGTTAACTCGTGCACGCCCCAGTCTAACCATTTACATATTTCTTACAGTAACCCAACAGGCTCGACTGCACCGTGGCGTAACATAACAACGAAACATTGAATTGTCCGGCAGAACTATGTGTCCCCACAAATTTAGCACATAATCAGTTTCCTCACACTTTTCATACGTGCTATAGCTGACGCACAGCACGCAGAGACCGCACCATGCCCCCCCAAAAAAGTGTGGGCAACTTTAACGAGCAACTTACCAGCTCTGTTCCTCCCTTTCCCTTGAATGCCCCTCCTGCCCACCAAGCTCTGTTGCTGCTGTTGCACAAATTTCAGCTTAATTTCATATAACAGGGCAAAGGGTCGAAAGTTTTGTCCGCCGGGATCCTTGTATATTTGATGCTTAACTTCATAAAAGAAGACTCTAAACTTCTTCTTTCCTCTCCCTTTCCGTCCCTGCCTCCTCCCCCTACCTCCCCCTCCACGATCACGACAGAAGTCACTTCCGCGAACAACGCAGCGTCATCCGGCTCCTCTCTCTCTCTCTCTCTCTCTCTCTCTCTCTCTCGCTCTCTCTTTCTTTCTCTTCATTTCCCCCACTCCCGTGCGAGTGTGTGCGTGCGTACGCGCGCGCGTACCATTTTGCACCTGGACCACTCAGTGTAGGTTGCGCAAAAGTGGAAACCCTGACCGCCAGCCATAAGTCTGCAGCTGAACATGTACTTTACCGTAGATAAATACAGCGCAAGAACAGCTGTTTTACGCCTGAAGTTTTGCTTTTTCCAGCATTTAGAAAGAGACCGCGATGACCCGCATCCGCTACCAAAACAAACCATCAGCATCAGCTCAGGGCATAAGCTGCTGGCCCCCGCTTTGAGGTGTTATTACCGCAAAGAAATTGACATAACTACATACGCACTGTCGTCCACATATGTTTTAAACACGTTTTTGTGTTGTCCATACATGTCCATACATTTGAATATGATTCTCGTTTCTTTGCTTTTCTTTTTTTTCAAAGCAGTTTGGTGATGAGATAACTTTCTTCAGGCCGCAGCCTTATACCACCAATAAGTAAACATGGCATTGTGCAAGACGCTAAAGCCCAAGAACTAGATCTTTACCACAGATTGTATGCATAATACACATATTATCACGTACGAAGGCAAAGGAGTGGCTGAATTCTACAGTTTCAGAACATGCTGATTCAGTGGATCGGTTCATGCGTTGGTGCACTGACACGTGCGCTTTTTTTCTTTTTTTCCACTGAAGCATGTAAAAATGTACCCGTGAAGCAAGTTTGCCTTATTTGACTCAAATGCATTCCCTCCAGGAAGCAAAACGAATACAGTTGTGCTTGGATCTAAGAATGTTGTGCTTGCATCTCAGAATTGCCCATTCACGTAATCATTTCTAGTTTTATATAATTATATGATAGCCCATCACATAATTGTATCACACAAAGCATTTTTATTTTTCACGTTGATAAGGACTTGTTCTGCAATCCCAGTCTGCTGAGTAAGATAAGATAAAATAGCTGTTATTACTCCTATGGGAAATGGGCATTATTACAGCAGCAAAGTAGACAGATAATAATAACTGGAACAATAATAAAACAATAGAATACTTTATTATTTTGTAGGTCATATGATCTGATAGAAAAACAATACATAAATCAAGCGTTGTACGCGCTCTGGTTAAGCGGACATAAAGGTACAAGGAGTTACGTTGAATGATCAGTGGTTAAATTGATTAATTTTTAATGAATTCAGACAGACAGAGTATATCTTAAACCGTCAATGTGTTTGAAGGCAGTAAAATGCTGTGCGCGAGAATCAATTCGTCTCTCACTTCGGTTTAATATTTCATCCACAAGCAGACAAAACTGTTAAATATATGCCAACATGCTCCACCCACAGGCGAAAAAGGTAATTATGAGTTTAATAACAGCATTTAGGTTTCGTGGAGTTCACTCCTCCAGTCAGCAGGGGCGCACGAGTGACAGTAATCTATTTTGAATCGGGCAAAGGAAGGAGTGATTCTCCGTCCTCTTCCGGGTGGTGGTGCAGCAGTAAAGTTATGTTACTAATCGTTTGGCTGACACTTGTTTTTAAAGTAGATAAGCGACATTTATTACTCCTCATTGACTGTACTGATTCCGCCACATCTTTAAATGACTTTAGTGTACATTACGTGCTGGTCGTTAAGATCCGCCTCCTGAAATATGATTGGCTATCGTAGTGTGGTTTTAAGGTCACGTCATACCTTGAGCGACAGCTCGAGCTGCAGCTGTACCAACCGGTGATAGGGAGCTTAGCACGGACATATACAGCTGAGGGGTAAGTTCCCTCGGTTTTGATGAGATTGGTTATCAAACAATAAATGTAACACCCGGACTTTTTCCTCACACTAAACATATTCGTCGAGAGATATCGACAGTAGAGACAAAATTGAATGTGCACATCTACTTAAATTGTACTTCTTTATTTTGGCATAAGTAACCTAGCGAGGAGACTTAGAGTTAGCTAAGAATTTACATTCAGGTGTTACACACGCTCACACACTTGTGATATTTGCCTTGTGTTTCAGTTATTTTTTGGTATGGCCATAAATGAATATGTCTGAGTTCACTTTATTTTCGTCCCGTTAGATAACTTACAAATGTTACGCAATGCAAACTATGTAAGCAGGTGCAAGGCAGTTGTGTCAAAAAGCGAATACTAATGTTTCTACGTTTTTAATGTCTAATATGGTTTCTTGTGTTGGTTAATAGACTGTAGTCAACGGGATTTACGGAGGGGCTAAAATGAATTATTCCAATCTGCTCTCTTTTCCAGATCTCTCTTGAAAAACTATTAAGAAAAAAACAAACAAACAAAAAACACCCAAAACGCTTTTTACCTTATACTTTGTCACTTTGACTTGATATCGTCCATAAGACATGTGTTGGACAGATCATAGGCCAGCTAGTCATCTACAACAGTTTACCCCTAATCAATTCTTGGCAAATACCAGAAGTCACTGTTTGCTTTATCCTTCTGCAACTGTGACTCCCAGGCTGCTCTCCAAACCACATGCACAATGTGAAGCTGAACATACAAGACACCTAGAAGTATCATTAAATGCCTGCTTTGGATCTGTTAATCCCTTAACAGTGGATTTAATTACCATTATTTCTCTTTTTAACACATTTGTGTAATATAGATGTTTTTGCTTTGTTATCACAGAGTTCTATTTTGTCAGCAGTTTGCTAGCGTTTCAAACACTGGATGGAAAACGTGTTTTTCATCTGCATCAAATGAATATCTACCTTAAAAGACACAAATTATTAAAACTATTAAAACAAACTGTCACTATCTTATTGTTAATGATGCACACAGGACTACTGCAATTTAGTTATATACAACTGAAAAACAGTTAATACACACATTTAAATAGAAATAAAACAGTTTCATTAGCAACCAGTGACTTTTAATCATTCAAGTGTTTTAAATACAACTCTTATTTCAAGTTCAACCACTTAACTCCAATTTAAAGCCTTATCAAAAGACCTATATAAATAAATAGCCGATTTAAAAAAAAAAAAAAAAAGAGAGAGAGAGAGTCAGTGTTAAGGAAATGCAGAAGAAATGCACAAATTATTCACATGTTAACAGTACACCCTTCCTCTTCCAGAGATACCTTCAGCTAAGGGACACACTATGACAGAGAAGAGGGTCTGAACAACAGCGAAGCCTTTTCTGATGTTCTGTGTGGATTCATGCTGATGTAAGAAACATTTCTTGTCACTGTAAATGCAGCAAAGTAATACAGATGCTATATTAAAATGCACAAATATCTGACAAATTACAGGGAGATCTTTAATATTTGACCTTAATATGGGGTGCATTTGTTTCCTCTGTTATGGTATTACAGAAATCACCGTTTGTAAGACATGCTGGCTTTTCCTTTAATTTGTGGCCCATCTGCATATTAACAGTTGAGCATACTGCACACTGCATTCCATATTGCATATGCTTACATACTATGCTAAAGAGGTCTTATTGACTCGATAGCTTTTTGACTTTGCTGAGTGTTGATAAACCTAGTATTAATTTGTAGTAAGCAGTACTCAATTAATTTGTTTCCATTGTTCCCAGCTTTTCTTTTCCGAAGCTGAGTAGAGCAGTGGTGCGTGTGAGGAGACTGGCGGCTCATCTCAGCAAGGCAACCATGTCAACAAACCTCCAGAGCAACAGTTCGTCTTCTGCAGCCAACGGGGATGCTCCTACTGCAGCCATTCTCATCATTGGAGATGAGATTCTTAAGGTGCTTTTGGTGTTGATAAAGTTTGTGCCTTGTGTGGCTTTTAAGCTATACGTGTGTGACAGCACCCAAATGAAAATCACTGGGAGTTTGTGCAATTGAGGAAATCAATATAAACTGGGTTTTTTTGTAATAGAAGTAGGAGCTTGCATTGTGCAGTGTTTAACATATACCGTCATCTGCATCCCTATGTGTTTGGACCTCTATCCAGTCTCTGATGTGCATTTCATGACCTCAGGGGGAGAAAACTGCAATGGTTAAGTTATGTGGCAGCTGTGGCTGTTTCTGAAATCACAAGCTTACTATTATTTTTTTTGACTTGACATGATCATGATTTAAACATGAAGTATTTGATTTTTGTCCAGTGTCACATCTCTCTGCCTGAAAATCAGCCTTCAGTCCTTGAATTTCATCAAGCAAGACCTTGGAGTTTCCTTTTTCTTTATTTTTTTGTGTTTCTTTCTTTTTTTTAAGGTTCTTGAATCTGATGTGCATGTGGGTGTCTCTTTCAGGGTCACACAGTGGATACCAACAGTGCCTTTCTAACTAAAGCGCTTAGGAAGCTTGGAGTGTCTGTGCAGCGCATAACAGTCATACCGGATGTGCAGGCAGTCATTGCCAAAGAGGTGGCCCTCCTTTCATCTCAGTATACGCACCTCATCACATCGGGGGGTATAGGTCCCACTCACGATGACGTCACCTTTGAGAGTGTTGCCATAGCATTCCACGAGGAGTTATATAAAAATCCAGAGCTTAGCAAGCTGGTTGAAGAATTCTTCGGGGTTGGGGAGAAAAACAGTGCCGCTATGAAGCTGGCGATGGTGCCTCGCTCAGCAAAACTTAACTATGGAACTGACCCTCAGACTGGGCTAAAGCACCGCTACCCTCTGGTGAGTGAACTCGGTACAGAGGAATTTCTATAGAACACAAAGTTACTTCAAATATATCCAAGCTACACGGTGCTGTTCAACCCATAACCTTTCTTTAAGGTAAACAAAAGTGACGGTGTTTTCTTTAGAAGACAGATTGCAAACTAACTTGTTGCTGAAGTAGTGAAAATAGCTTCCTGCAGTGGTCAAAACAATAAATACTCTGAGCACACACAGACACCAGGCGTGAGAAGCATTCACACCTCTTACTCACAGGTCATTAAATTTGGACATTTTTCTCTTTAAGGTTAATGTCTTTGGTGATTTATTAATGTGTTTCAAGTTGAGAGACATTAATGTGCAGTATATTATTATCCTATTGAGAATTTAAAATGAAACAATGAAGAACATTCCTGCATCATATCTCAATAGTTTCAACAATGATGGCTCGAGTACCGCCCCACATCTTTTCTTACAATTTGATGTGTCTACCTTTTTCTCCCAGGTCAGTGTACGTAATGTGTACATCTTTCCCGGGATCCCATCTTTAATGGAGAAGGCCTTCAATGGGCTGGAGCATCTCTTTGCTGGTTCAGGGACCACCTTTCACACTCGTGAGGTAACTCCATAACCAAACCTGTTACTTCAAAATCCAGTCCAAGTCAGAATTAGTATACTTTTGTTTTTTTCTAATTAATTTTTATGTATTTATCTATTTTTTACTTTTTGTTTATAATAGAGTTTAGTACTTCCTCTATATTTCTGATATTTCCTTGATACTTTTAAAGTATTTTACCTTTTAGTTTACTTTTAGTTGAGTAAAATAAAGTTGATTTGAATGCAGTGTTTAAATAGTACAATTAAGTTTACCAGACATTAGCTTTTTTGTTTTTAGGTGTTTGTCGATGCAGATGAAACAGACATTGCACCTGTGCTGACCAAACTGCAGGCTGACTGGGGCCGAAAGGTGGCTCTTGGCTCCTACCCTGACTGGTTGAGCAACTATCACAGAGTTAGGCTGGTCCTGGACGCAGACAGCCAGCAGGAGGTGGACAAAGCCCGAATACAGCTGCTAGACAAGCTGCCCAAGGGGAGCGTGGTGCCCTTAGTCACAGACCCGGTGTCCATAGCCCCCGCTGAGGTGTACGGACTGGCCAACAGTGGTGAGTGTGTGGAGAGTAATGGAAGATGATTCTTAAATATGTGTCATCTTGATATAAAGTGAATACTGACTTGTGCATTTTACACAGGCATTGGGACCAATAAAGAAAGTTAAAATATTAAAGTAATTTAAGTCGTAAAGTCAGAGTGGATAATAAAAAAGAAGAATATAACTCTGTGAGACAGAATGGTGAATAGATTACAATAAAGCTTCAATAACTAAGCTATGACAAACTACTAGCAGCTTTTTTCTTTTCTTTGGATTAGACGTAGAAATGTGGGCTCATTTCTAAGATGCCTCACAGCTTGACTGCATTAATTATGAACCATCCTCTTACTGTCGATTCCTTCCTACAGGTACAGAGCTGGGTGAGAAAGTCATGTCTGCACTGAAAACAATAGAGGCAGCACTCCATCAGTATTCAACAGAGCAAATCTGTGTTGGCTTTAACGGGGGCAAAGACTGCACAGCGCTGCTTCATCTCTACTATGCTGCACTGAAACGGTAACAGGAGGGGAGAAGACGAGATGAGACAATTAAAACATTTTTGTGGATTTTTTTAATCTGTGGGGGAAAAAAAACAAATGACCTGAGAGATGAAAGATGAAAATGAAGATTCAAATTAAAAACATAATGATAGCATTAGCGCACAGTGGGGTGTGAGATCTCAGCAGGAAGTAAATGGAAAAAGGAAACTAGTTTGAGGGCAGCACTTAGAGAAAATCTTGGAGAAGACTGACTACTTTTTTGGACTTTTCATGACCTGTGCTGGACAGATTGTGAGATATGACAAATACTTATCTGATCTTTTTCTGTGCCAGCATTGCTTATCTTTTTAAAAAATGTCCCTTTTTTCTCTTCCTGTCACTCTCAGCCGATATCCAGATACTAAAGAAAAGGTGAAAGTCCTGTATATTCGTATTGTCTCTCCATTCCCAGAAATGGAGAGATTTCTACAGGACACAACAAAAAGGTGAGCTATCCACCATCTAGCTATCTATCCAGTTGATGTCATGTATTTTAATATATCCAGTCCAGGTCTTGTTTTGAAAAATGTGGCTTAACCCTGTCTGTGTGGCACCACTGTATCTCATTACTTGCCGTTGTATGTCCCAAAGATATAGCCTGGAGCTGTTCACTGTGGAGGGCAGTATTCGCCAGGCACTGAGCGAGGTGAAGGAACGAAGGCCAGAGCTAAAAGCCGTCCTGATGGGGACCAGGAGGAGCGACCCCTATTCACATACACTCACAGACATGTGTCCTACTGATCCTGGCTGGCCTGACTACATGAGAGTCAACCCCTTACTAGTGAGTGTCACACAGTATGCATGCCGTTATATTAGGACTGTATGCTGGCTCTACGTGGCGTGAGGCGGTATGACTTGCCTCGATCTGTTTTCCTTTACAATCGAGTACCATTAAATGTGCGTGGGGTTGTTAGAGCAACTTGGCCAAACATCCCGTAATGTCATTTGTACGTGACACAAACGCTATAACAAAGGTGGACATCAAAGCGATGGTATACTTGCTGCTCAGTCTGTGGCTTTTTGTCAGATTGGGACCAAGTAGGTACTAAAAAAGTACCTGATACCAGATACTATCACCGAGGTGACCCGAGTAAGTACTAATGGAAACGGCTATAAGCTCATACCTCATGGTTTTCATTTTTAGCGCTTTTTCTGTTGCAGTGCTGTTTCTCTCTCTTTACTGAATTCATCTCTCTAGACTCAAATGAAGTCAAAGTACTTTCAAAATAAAGCTAAAAATACCCCAAAATACTTGAACAGAAAACAACATCATGCACAGATGGATTAAGACTTTTCTTCCATATTTACATGAAATACAACCATCTAGTAAAAAATGTGTATTTCCCAATTGGTTGGGAGTAGTTCCTGGAAGTTGCTTGTTACCAATTCCATCAAAAAACTCTCAACAATTGAATTTAATTACTTGCAGGTTGCCATGGTTCCATGTAGCTTTTTACCCCTTTAGCTGTAAAAGACTGATGGGTTATTGTCACAATGAATATGCAAGTTTGTGTTACTTGAGAAGGAGGTGACATGGGATTTTGAAATTGATACCATAGATGCAGCTTCTAAAAATTTCAGAAGAGTTTGACTCCTTGATGTCAAGTTCAAGGTCAGAGGTCAAGTTTCCTGAAAATCTTTTGAATGTGATAATTTGATTTTGAAATTGAAGTCATAGGTGTATCTAATAGGAGGGATACCATTGGTAAGCCGCTAGTATTTTTCTTGTTTGTCTGCAGTACTTGCCAACCACGAGTTAAAGTAAAGGTGGAAGTAAAACTTGTTTTGTTGAAATGTACAACACAAATCGGAAATGGAGAAAATTCACCTTCAAAGGGAAAGTTGTGCCAAAATATTTCAAAAGGCCAGAGCTCAGTTTCTGGATCGTGTCAAACTTTTCATAGTTTCATTACAGCTCAGAGAGCAGCTGGACTGTATTTGTAGACAAGTACGTCACTGTATGACCACAGCAACATGGTAGTGATTAAAGCAGTCACGTGGAGGTTTTTGTCAAGTCATTGGAGAATACACATTTTTCCTAGCGACAGATGTCACTGACCGATGTGTAAACCCGCGTGATTCAGGCCTTAGCAGTCATTTTCCCAGTGACCACTCATAACCGGTCATTTTCCTTTCATGACCAGTGATTGTCAGATTGTAGGGTCGGGTAGTTATTATTCACTTATTCATTTGACACCACATTGTCACCATGATTGTCACATGTCTAAAACAGCAGGTGTAAAATAATGTGTCTGCAAATCCTCATGACCTGGGAAAGCTTCACTTGTTATCCTTGATGTTATTTGTCATCTTGATAAAAATTTCTGAATAATGCTTTATTCGTAAAGCTTTAAACGACTATTTTTCCTAAATAAACTCACACATAATGTGAGTGCACCAGTACATTAAAAGGCTTTCTAATGCAACACCAACGCAGAGTGAGGGATGCATGTTAACATTTCAACACGAAAGGGTCACAAAAGTGAAATCATTGCAGTGCTTTTTGCTGAATAGCTGTAGCAAGCTCACGTCTTGTTCTTCTGTTTAGTCTGGCTGAAGAATGGATGTGCATAAGCGACATGGCAGTCGCCTGCTTTATTTGATTTTATTGTTAATGCTAGTACTGTGTCAGCTGCTGTGATGGAGCACATAGAAGCACAGGTACATTTAGCAGTTGACCTCAATTCAAGATAATTTATGTAGTGCTTCATCTCATGAGTATATCTAAAAGGACTCCACAGAGGATGAGTTATTATAGCTTGAACAAAGGGAGTCAGTTGCAAACCAATTACATTTGTTTTCTAACACTCTCCAGGACTGGACATATCACGACATCTGGGCATTCTTGAGGACATTATACGTGCCCTACTGTATTCTCTATGATAAAGGGTAAGGATGTGTTAGTTGTCTTTATTCAGGTGTACACAGCTTAAAAAGCAGATCTTTAGGTCTAAAATATCTCTGTTGAAATGTAGGTACACTTCACTCGGCAGTATGGACAACACCTGTCGAAACGAGGCACTGAAGGTGGTGGATGCCAGGGGGGTGACACGATACAAACCAGCCTACCTCTTGGAGAATGAAGAAGAGGAGCGAAACTCCCGCGCTTGAAACAATCTGTGCTCGTCTTACTTAAGCTGTTCTTCGTGGAGCCATTATTTTTTCTTTTTAAGGATGTCTGCTAACCATCCACCCTCATTTAATTCATAAGAAGGACCTTTTCAAAAATACCATGTCTGACTGTGGAATGAGATCACAGAGAAAATGTGTGTTGCTTGTGTACATGAGTCTAAAGTAATGGCTCTCTGTGCTGTTGAATAAAACATCACTCCTTTTTTTTTTTCTTCTATTGTCATGTTACTTTAAGAGGGCTCTCACATACAAATGGGAATCTGCAGGGCATTCAATATAGCTCTTCACTTAACTTATTCATGCCTCCCTTTGTCTTATCTCTAAATCCAATAACAACACTCCACCAGGAAGACGGGCTCCATCAAAATGTATTTGTAAATAATGTAAAAAGGTTTTTCTCATCGTGGAGAGAACACCAGATTTGAGAAACTCCCTGATGAAGGCCACCCAGCAGGCTCTCGTTTGCTAATCCGTGTCTCCGACTGAATACCCAGAATTGCAGGCTGCAGCATGTTTAGCTGAGCATCTCCCCACCACACACCCGCTCGCTGTAGTTCTCTTTGAAGCCCTCACGGGCGCGTTGTTCTCACGTTTTCTATTTAGTGCCCGTGATTATAATAAATTACCTTCTCCGTTTCCAGACATGATTGAATCCAGGCTCATCGATCTGCGCTCTCCCTCTCCCCGCCTGGAGATTAGTCAACACCGCGCAGCGTGGATCAATACCGGCCGATCTAATAAAGCGGGTCGCTTACGAGGCCACCGCGGGGCTGCACACACTGTTACACCAGCAATTACCACTTCTAGGCCGTCCCTCATACACCCCCCTCCTAACATATCTGTCCTGGCTTCACGGCTTGCTTGATTTATTAATAATAACAGTAATAAAAGAGGCAATGAACAGCGGCTTTATAATCACAGCACCGATGTAATGGTGTGTGTTTTGGTGGTGCGGTAAACACACCGGGACATTGTCTGGAATGATGTTTTTGGGGTAGAAAATTAAGTTACAGTCTGTGTTAGGCCACTTCTAACTATAGCTGTATATGCAGCTTATATAATGTGAGGGGTTTACTTTTATATAGGTCTAATTTGTGCTTTTATTTATTTAAACTTCTCCTGTGTGCTTGTAGCACATATCCACCTTACTTTTAGGTTGAATCCTTAATTATGCATGTAAAAATGTATATAAATCCTTGTACATCTCATACTTTTATACATTAATGGCAACAATTGTATATAATAATTCGTTTTGAATGTATCTTGTGTAACTTATTTACTTGCATATCTGTATTTCATATTTCTATCGGCTTCTTTTTTTTTTCTTTTTTAAAAAAAATCATTTTATTTTGATTAATTCTTGCTGTGTGTTAGGAGGAAACAATATCTGGATCTGGTGTATATCCTGTAAATATTGTAGAAGTTACAATAACGTTGTCTTTATCTTTGGTTAAAGATAAAATACAGTGCAATTAAACACATCTAACCAGTGGTTTCCAGGCATTTGGTTTTCTGACCTCATTTACAAAAGAAGCTGTTGCCTCTTGCCACATTTCTGTAATTTTCCCATAAACATCTTAGTAAAATCATTTGTTAACTTTGTAAAGGCTCAAAGCGCAAAGTCTTCCTAATAAAAGAATTAATTAAAAAAATGAGCGATCACAAGGATGCATGGAACAAAAATAGCTCTTTATATTGTAAGGTAAAACCCTACAAAATTGCAAAGATACCCCAACAACCATACAACCCTCTATGAACAAGCACTTGGTGACTGCTGGAAGGGAAGTGTGGCAGAGCCGTTGTTCTTTCCACTCTCATTAATCACCCCACAATCCCTCAGATTAGGTTTGTGACCCTAAGAGGGGTCCCTGAACGTTAGGAAGGCAGCCGCTTGAACTGCTAAGTAGTTTACTATATAAATTCTGAATACAGGACTTCGATTGAAGACTTCCAGTTAAGCAGAAAATCAAAGTTCTTCCACCACACGGGCAATAATATAAAATGAACTTGTGTTTTTCCAAAGTTTATCACTGCTGTACTTTTTCCTCCACTGGTTCATATTTCATTCTCATTCTTTTTCAGCTGTCATGTTTGTTTTGGCTGCATCAATCCACCACTGTAGCCAAACCAGTTTCTTACTCAATTCCTTTCTTGTGTATTATGACTCTGAATTCTTGCTCAGTCTTTCTTATGAATTTCAAAATGATGTTTTGATTTTGGCCCAGAAGCCTGAGTCAGAAAAACCTCTTGGGTTACACAGTGAGAGGATATGCATATTGACTACAAGGGACCTAAAAACATATTGGAGTGAAATACTTTTTTTCCTCTTCCTTTTTGTGGTCCTTAACTGCATATTTATAAATATCTTATTTTGTACTTCACAATACTCTTCCAGGAACGGGGTTTATCTGAAAGCCAGAAAACTTCAAATAAAATAATCCTGACGTTCTGATAAAGCAACTTTTCTGCCATTTGAGACAAAGGGGAACAAGTAGGAATATAAAGTGGTTTTCTTCCCACCCTCTCCCCTGTGCACATTTAAACTTAATTGGTCCTCCAAAGACAGGTTTTAGGGTGGGTGGGGTAGAAGTATGATCAGAGCAGCCGCTTAAGGTGATGCGAGGATAAGAAGCTAATCTTGCTGCTCGCTCAGTACACTCCAGTGTTTCTCTCCATATCCCCCAGGTGGGACTGACTTATAAGAGGATCCACACAGCTAACAGTGTGTGTGATATGGACTCAGCATGACTTAAAATGACACTTAATGTGACTTTGTACAAAACATGTGGCAAGCTTTGATATCGGAGTGAACTATCCATCTGATGCTCAGGTGACTGTGATGCTTTTCTCTAAAGGAATATGTTCTTAATCCAATTCCTCAGCAGCTCCTGCAGTGTAAAACGAGACTTGAAGCACCATGAGACAGCAATTCAGGCGATGTCCTAGGAGGGATGCTTAACACAGAGGATGAATAGACAGACCGTTGTCAGAAAGCATCAGGAGAGAAGGGAGACCTTTGAGTCTATGCAAATTACCAGCCCATCTGCATGTAAAGCCAACCGACCAGAACACGGGAAATAGGATGTTCAGTATCAAAGTGTCACACATTAAAAGTGGATGAAAGTAAGTGAGAAAGAAAGGAAGGGAGGGACTGGGAGCGAGAAAGAGGAGGGAGGCGGCTTTGCTTGCTGCCATGTGAAGTGTGACTGACTTAGCTCATTTGTGCTTGGTTTTGGTATGTTCAAATAAAAGGCAGTTTCATAATCCTAAGTTTGTCACAGCTTCCAGGCCAGTACACAGAACCAAGACCCCCTGCTCATATCCACACACACACACACACACACACACGGGATGCATTCAGAAATGCTTTTCATAAGGCGGACTCGCTTTAATGTAAAGAACCAGGGTCTGTGAAGCTTCAGCCAGCACACTGAAAACTGATGAGAAAGATTCTGCTCAGCTCAAGCCGACTGGAGCTCATTTGCATTCAACAGCAATAACTTAAACACGATGTGGGCCGGTAGAAAGATGAGAGATGTTTAGCACTAGAAAGTCCGAGCCGATGTCAGACGATTCCTGCTTTTGAACTGGATTTGAAAGATTATGAAAACATTTTATGTGTTTTCTAAGCCCAATTTAATGTATCATTTCATATCCCTAATCAGGCAGCAAAACAAAATTCAGCCGTGTTTACCTCATTCAGCTGATATCTTCTTCAGCTTCTAGTATCAAAAACTGAAATGTGTGCAAATTATGTGCAAATTAATGGAGGAGAATGATAATAGGCAACCATACTCTGATTTACAGTCATGTGGCGAGATAAGTACCTCCAACTGAAACAGATTTTTTCAACATATTTGAGCAAGCAAGCACCTGTTCCTCTTTCCTCATAGATAAAAATGCTACACACAGAAACAAATTACATGTCATGTGCAATCATAGTAACAGGTAGATTCTGTCATATTTAACCTGTCTCTGACCCAAGGTATGGACGGTGTTATTTGCTCCAGATATAAAGAGCTCTCTAATATCTATGGATGTCAAAAAATCCTGCAAGGCACTGGGAAATGATCTGAATAAAATCATTCTACCTATAACAAAAATTAGTGTCTCAAGTGGTGTAGATATTAAATCACTGCCAGTTTGTCCAGAACTGGCCACCTTATCAAATTCTGAACAGAATTTGAACAGTCTCAGAGAACCCCAGAAGGATCTGCAGCCAACTCATGCCACTGTTGGTATTATCAGCCACAGGTTTATGACCCCAACCCCCCAAAATATAAACAGAAACAGGTGCGGTGGTTAGTGCAGTTGCTGTTGCCTCACAACAAGAAGGCCCGGGGTCTTTCTGTGTGGCTGGAATGTTCTCCTCATGTCTGCATGGGTTAGCTCTGTGTATTCCAGTAACCCTAACCCCTTCTACAGCCCAAAGACATGCAGTCGATTGCGTTAGATCAGTTCCCCAATCTCAGTCCACGAGGGCCCGTGTCCCTGCAGGTTTTAGATGTGTCCTTGATCCATCACAGCTGATTTAAATGGATAAATAACCGTCTTTAAGTTCTCCAGAGGTCTGGTAATGAACTAATCATGTGATTCAGGTGTGTTGACCCAGGGTGAGATCTAAAACGTGCAGGGACACCGGCCCTCGTGGACTGGGATTGGGGACCCCTGCGTTAGATTAACAGGTGATTCTAAATTGTGCATAGGTGTGAATGGTTATCTGACTCATAGCCCTGCGACAGGCTGGTGAACTGTCCAGAGTGTGAAACAGCTCCTGCTCTGGTGGTGGGGGGGACAATAAGTGGAGGAAGATGGATGGATGGATGAACTGGTGGATGCGTGTATTTGCTCTATCTTCCTTCCCTTAACCCCAACTGGTCACCGAGCCTGGTTCTGTCTGAGGTTTCTTCCTGTTAAAAGGGAGTTTTTCTTTTCCATTGTCGCCAAAGTGCTTGCTCACGGGGGAGGGGGTCCTCTGATTGTTGGCATTTTCTCTGTATTATTGTAGGTCTTCATCTTAGAGTATAAGGAGCCAGGAGGCAACTGTTGTTGTGATTTGGCGTCATACTAAATAAAAACGTTTAACTGAACTGAAAAATTGAATGAATAAACATTTTAATGGGCTCAACTAGGATTTCTGCATCATATCAAGAAAGTTCCTGGGGGCTGTTTGAACCACAAGTAGATGTTTCAAACTTGTACACAATTAGAAAACACACCCAGAAATGTCTCACAAAGAAGAAATCTGATGTTATGTTCTCACTATTGTGAAAGTGGAGTTTTTAATGACACAGTGTTGTAAAGGTTTTGGAACAGGGCACTACACGCAAAAATAAAGATGGTCAAAGATTTCAGCAAGCCCACTTACTGTGGGGCCTTCAAGCCTGCAAGGATGTACTTGCTTTTTCTATTAAAAGAAATTAAAAGATTAAAAAATAATACAAAAATGAACCCATAAGAACTCAGAGCTATTCACCCTAAGGTTCACCCTGAACACATTTCAGACCTCTAAACAATTTTTTTTTTTTCACACATTTTTTTGTCAACAAAATGCACAAAACAAAAAATAATTGAGACTGCTTTGTGATGGCAGTGCTGCTGCTGTAGCAGTACAAACCTGAGTCTTATGCAGGGAACTTTATCCTCAGCTTTGTGTTGTCAGTGATGATGGTAGGATCTGACTGTGATTGTCTGTCTCAATGGGACATCTTGTTTCCTTTTCCCAGTATGCTCAATTTACTGGCATTTGGCACAGACCCATGTGCAGCGAGAGAGTGATCGCTGTTAATGTGACTTTCAGATTTTTGTATAAATTTGTCTGTTCCTTCTGTAAACTGAGCATGTCTGCTGTGACACTCCAGGGGAGTATCAAGATGATCTGAAATTGTGAAAAACTCTTTTGAATGCACATTCAGGGGTAAGATTTATTTCCCCAAGATTTCTGTTTTTCATGTTTTGGTATACATGGTTCATATTTGATTCAATAGTATGAAAATCTATATATAAAATTAACAAATAAATAAATAAATGACATTGAAATAGGATGGATAATTGATACAAGGTAACTAAAATAAACAAAAATGTCTCAGCTAAAGGTGTAGTATATTTAGCTGTAATATGCAAGGATTGTTGCATAACAAATTTTTTATAATTATTGAATGGATTTGACATTTTTATGATTTAAATTGAATGATAAAACTACAAGTTAAAAAAAAAAGATAAACAGCTAAATTAATTGAGCAGATCAATACAGTTTTTTCTTATTCCGACAGAGACGCCATATCCTCCCGAGAACAGAGGAAACAAGCATCTTTCAGTTTAACTTTTTTTGTGATGTCCTGCTTATTTGGAGCTCAAACAGGCCACACAAACACATGAGATTTCATTGGAAAGGC